GTTGAGGGCCTCTTCTGCTTGGAAGTGGGAACGCAGGATGCATCTAAGTGTGGGAAGAGTTAGCTGAGGTTTACCTTCCGAGTAGCTACGTAGCTGTGAGCCTGGAGAAATAGCCCTGATTACTGCATCTACTATTTCTACCTCAGGATAGCCTCTGTTAAGTCCATTCTCAATCTGATGAGCAAGGCTGGAAAAAGTCAGTTTATCTTTCTGGCCCGGTTCACCTATCTGACCAGAAATGTTTAACTCTTTGCGCCAGTATGAGCCGGGCTGTGCACTGGGTGAGAGCTGCATGCTCCCCTGAAGATGGGCAGGGGGTTGGGGCTGGTGCAGAGAATCACTGGCTTTGGCTGCAGTACTCTGCTCAGTTCCCACCCCTAGTTTTGGGGTTACAGTTCTCAGTTCCTCTATTCTGTGATGTGTTCCGGCTGTTTCAATATCATGGTCAGTTTGCCCTGTTTTGTTATCTATGCCACTGATCATCTCTGTCATTTTGTCTTTAAGTAGCAACAATTCCGACATGCCGCCATCTTCTAACTCTGCAACTTCCTCTCTTTCAAGGAAAATCATAATGTGAGTCATCAATGATATGTGGGATTTGTCTTGAACATCTCTTCTCTGTTCGCCTGTTATGTCAAGGAAATCACATATGTCTAGTAACTTGTCTTTAGTCAGGGTGTGCAATTCTCCTACTACCTCTTCCTGTAGTTCTTCCAAGGAGGTTGTCATGTTGACAGGAGGAACTTTTACTGTGCAGGAGTTGACTCTGAATTAGATGGTCCTTACTGTCTCTGATGGTCTCTCAATGGCCTCAGTTGACACGTACTTAACCACCAACTTCCAGCTCCCCTCGAACAGCAACACTTTCCTCACTACAGCCTGCCTGGGTTGTTATGTGGGGATTTAGCTGGCTCGGAATTCAGCGACCAGGATGTGGAAACCGGACATCTGAGCAGCTATCTCAGCGGAGCCTCCAAAATGTTACGCCCCTGAAAAAGGGGAGAAATAATCACGAGAGCGATGCAGTTATGTTTCCTCACTGAAAACTTTAGTGAAATGAGGAAAAGACCACGATTTCCCCGGGAACTTGGGTGGAGACCAGAGCAATCGATCTCAGGCTCATAGATTAAGAGCATTTAGTAGATCACAGATTAACACTTTTACCCTTAAATTAGGCACCACAAAATAAAGTAATCAATATAACGTTTACACATTCCTCTTCCAATTTTTACCCTTTGTACACTTGACGGATTTTAACCTTTTAACACAATTATATGAATTTTATCAATCTCTATGAACTAGTACTGAATGCATGATCTTTTTAACCTTAGATATTTTAAGATCCTCACATACAGTGAACTTACTGATACTTTTTAGTGTATAACAGGCTATGAATATTTCCTTTAACCTGTCACATACGCAAGTATAAACATCATGGGACCACGCAGCCGTCATACCACTCAGGAAGGAGACGCGTTCTGTCTCCTAGAGATTAACGTACTTTGGTGCGAAAAGTGCAAATCAATCCCAGAAAAACAGCAAAGGGCCTTGTGAAGATGCTGGAGGAAACAGGTACAAAAGTATCTATATCCACAGTAAAACGAGTCCTATATCGACATAACCTGAAAGGCTGCTCAGCAAGGAAGAAGCCACTGCTCCAAAACCGCCATAAAAAAGCCAGACTACGGACCCTGTCACGTTCGTTGAGTACAGGATTGGACCAAGGTGCAGCGTGGAATGCATACATGTTTATTCACTAAGTTAACACCACGACAAAACAACAAAAGCAACATAACGTGAAGCTCACAATGGCTACAAGCCAAACAAGAGTCAAGATCCCACAACATAGGTAGGCAAAATGGCTACCTAAGTATGATCCCCAATCAGAGACAACGATCGACAGCTGCCTCTGATTGGGAAACACACCCGGCCAACATAGATCTAAACATACTAGATCTACACATAGATATACACATTACATAGATCCTCACACCCTGACCAAACCAACTAGCGAACTCTATGTCAGGGCGTGACAGACCCCAAGCATACTTCCAAAGTTGTGGCAAAATGGCTTAAGGACAACAAAGTCAATGTATTGGAGTGGCCATCACAAAGCCCTGACCTCAGTCCTATAGAAAACTTGTGGGCAGAACTGAAAAGGCATGTGCGAGCAAGGAGGCCTACAAACCTGATTCAGTTACACCAGCTCTGTCAGGAGGAATTGGCCAAAATTCACCCAACTTATTGTGGGAAGCTTGTGGAAGGCTACCCGAAACGTTTGACCCAAGTTACACAATTTAAAGGCAATGCTACCAAATACTAATTGAGTGTATGTAAACTTCTGACCCACTGGGAATGTGATGAAAGAAATAAAAGCTGAAATAAATCATTCTCTCTACTATTATTCTGACATTTCACATTCTTAAAATAAAGTGGTGATCCTAACTGACATAAGACAGGGAATTTTTACTAGGATGAAATGTCAGGAATTGTGAAAAACTGAGTTTAAATGTATTTGGCTAAGGTGTATGTAAACTTCCGACTTCAACTGTATGTCTTTAAGCTGTTAATATATGAAAGTGCATACTGTACCTGTACAGTGAAACATTTGCATACTGGTTGAAGGGTCATATTTGATTTGCCTCTCTACTTATTTTTCAGCTCCCATACCGGTAGCTAACATTTTACTGACTGAATTTTTCTGTTTTGTGTCTCAGCTCCCGCCAATGTAGGAAATGTCAGTGTGATAGGGCAAAATGAGACCAGTATAACTTTGCAGTGGAACGAAGTGAATGGAACAGGGATCACTTATGAACTGAAGTTCAGCAATGGGTCTAATACTACCATCTCTGTATCTGATGGAAATGGAACAGTGACATACACAGTCTCCCCTCTCACTGCTGGGACAGAATACAACTTCACTCTCTTCACTATGTTCAAAGAAGTACCAAGCAGAGCATACAATTTCATCGCAGTCACCCGTGAGTGTCCTAAGAATGGATTCTGTGTTATTTCTTGCATGCTTAAATGACTCTATATTATGTCAATGTATGCACTCATGACTGTAAGTCGCTTTGGATAAAAGCATCTGCTAAATGGCATATAATATCATGCTAATGATGTCTTAGATAACATTACATCTACACTTTCTAAAATCTACAAAGTGAGTGACATGAGTTGTGAATGCATTGTGAATTCATTGTAAATACATTGTGAATTAATTGTAAATAAAATGTATTTACAATGAATTCACAATGTATATACAATGTATTTATAATGTATTCACAATGTATTTACAATGTATTCACAATGTATTCACAATGTATTTACAATGTATTCACAATGTATTCACAATGTATTTACAATGTATTTACAATGTATTCACAATGTATTTACAATGAATTCACAATGTATTTACAATGTATTTACAATGTATTCACAATGTATTCACAATGTATTTACAATGTATTCACAATGTATTTACAATGTATGTAAATACATTGTGAATGCATTGTAAATACATTGTAAATACATTGTGATCCATTAATTGTCATTGTTATCTTCCTGTCTTTCTATCTTAGGTCCCCTCAGTGTAGATTGGTGTCAATGTGACAGGGCAAAATGAGACCAGTATAACTTTGCAGTGGAACAAAGTGAATGGAACAGGGATCACTTATGAACTGAAGTTCAACAATGGGTCTAATACTACCATCCCTGTATCTGATGGAAATGGAACAGTGACATACACAGTCTCCCCTCTCACTGCTGGGACAGAATACAACTTCACTCTCTTCACTATGTTCAAAGAAATACCAAGCAGAGCATACAATTTCATCGCAGTCACCCGTGAGTGTCCTAAGAATGGATTCTGTGTTATTTCTTGCATGCTTAAATGACTCTATATTATGTCAATGTATGCACTCATGACTGTAAGTCGCTTTGGATAAAAGCGTCTCCTAAATGGCATATAATATCATGCTAATGATGTCTTAGATAACATTACATCTACACTTTCTAAAATCTACAAAGTGAGTGACATGAGTTGTGAATGCATTGTGAATACATTGTAAATACATTGTAAATACATTGTGAATACATTGTAAATACATTGTAAATACATTGTAAATACATTGTGAATTCATTGTAAATACATTGTGAATACATTGTGAATACATTATAAATACATTGTGATCCATTAATTGTCATTGTTATCTTCCTGTCTTTCTATCTTAGGTCCCCTCAGTGTAGATGGTGTCAATGTGACAGGGCAAAATGAGACCAGTATAACTTTGCAGTGGAACAAAGTGAATGGAACAGGGATCACTTATGAACTGCAGAACACCACTGGGACTAATACTATCATCCTTGTATCTGATAAAAGTGAAATAGTTACATACATAGTATCACCTCTCACTGCTGGGACAAAATATGAGTTCACTCTCTTCACTTTGTTTGAAGGTGTCAGGAGTATTGATGGAAGTAAATTATCTGCAGTCACTGGTAAGTTTTTGTTTTTTTTTTTTTTGGGGGGGGGGGGGGGGGGGGGGGGGGTGATACTGGATTGTCTTTTAGTATTTTCATGGATCACTCGTGTGAGATACATTAAATACTGATATATCTATAGCCTTAAAAAATATATATGGTTTATCTTCACACAAATATTTTGATTAAATAAAATATTGACATTTTAGATTTGGATTCATGCATTATAACTCTGGAATCGTCTGATACTGAATAGTTATTGGGATTGTATAAAATCAGACATGTACAGTAGTCATTTTTGAAGTGGTCCATTGACTGTGTTGATTGGTTATGTGTCTTCTCTCTGTCTCTCTGTATTAGCTCCCCTCAATGTTGAGGCTGTGACTGTAACAGAGTCAGACCGCACTGAGACCAGCATAACTCTGGAGTGGAAAAAGCCGGCGAATGGAGTCTCCAGTTATGTGCTGCAGTTCGGCGATAAGGGAAATATACCAATTAATAAATTAGGAGAAACAGTGACACATCAAGTTTCATCTCTCGATGCTGGGAAAAGATATGCCTTCACCCTCTTCACTGTGTTTGAAGGCATCAAGAGCAGTGGAGAAAGCAACTTCACAGTAACAAGTAAATGTGATTTTTTTACCTTGATTTCCAATTACAATCTCACAGTTCTTACCCTACAATTATCCAATCAGTTGTTTTATGTGGCTACAGTGATAGTTAGCTCTTCAAGTTGGTCCCACTTTATTTGGATAGTGGTCTAGAGTTTTATATACTATTTAGAAGGGTTGAATCTAAACTCAGCAAAAGTATTGCCTGAATAACACACTCATTTCACACATAAAAACATAATTGAATCCTTAAATGTGAAAGCTATTAACAGAAGTCCCTTGCTTTTCCCTGCAGAAATATTTTGTTCTGCTTTACACTGGGAGGTCACCAACTCATCCATTCAGACTGTGCTCCAGTCCAGTGAAGTCTCCTATGGACAGGCAAATAATGGAAGTCAAACTGGAGAACACGTCAGCCCTAACAATGGCAATCTGTCATTCATTCACCTTTACCCTGGCGCAGTTTACAACGTGACTCTTTGGTTTAGACAGGATTCTAAAACACTTCTTATGTGTGAACACATGGAGACTGTGGGTGAGTCAGTCTTTTACTTTGTCAAGGTGACCTATTTTGTTTAGTCCACTTTTCCACTAATTATATTAGTAGTCTAGCATTGATTTATTATGGTACACCTGTAGGATAGTGACTTTAGCAGGGAGTTAATGTGACATCTTCCTTTTTTGTTTTAATCAGTTCCTCCAGCGCTGATAAGTCCAAGATGTGACTATTTGTCTGGTGGCTACGCTTTCTCTCTGGCCTGGGATGTGCCGGAGGGAATATGGACAAGTGTGGAGGTGAATGTGACTGGGAAAAGCCCTCAGACGGTGAAGGGAATGTGTGTGATGAAGGCAGACATCGATGGGGTTCAACCTGCCCAGACCTATCCAGTGTCTTTGGCATTAATCTCTGGGCCTCGGATGAGTAAGGCTGTCTCTTTCAGCTGTAATACAGACCCAAGAGGTGAGTGAGCCTGGCATTTATCTTTAACTCATGTTAAAAGGTTCAACGATTGGTCAATGATATCTGTATTACCACCGATAACAGTATCTACACACAGCATGATGTGATATAGCTGCCATGCCTTCTGCTGGCAGAAAACCATGGGATCTCACCTGCTTCCTGTATTCAAAATGGAGAGCTTTTATATCTTGTTTTATATGATATTTTGATACTAAATGTGTGTTGGTCAGTAGGCTTATGTTGCTCAGTATCCGTGGAAGAACAGACCATTGTTATTATGATGATTACTCTTACATGTTTAGAAGTAGGCCTATAACCTATTTATTAACATGTCATGCCCTAAACTCTCATACTAAGCCCAGGTTTCTTCCCTATAGGGGTCATTGCAGGGTCAGTCATGGCTGTGCTGCTACTCTGCCTTCTGGTTTGTCTGGTTTTCTTCATATGGCGTCAGAAGCCAGACATGTTCAGGTTGGTGCTGCTGCCTTCACAATGGTGTTAGATAGGGAAACCATTTGGAATCAATAATCAATGCTTTTCTTTTTCCTTTTCCAATAGCCGGCCCAAGTCGTTGTTTGTGGAATCCAAACTAGCCAGCAATAAATTAAAGTATGTACAGTATACAGTTCATTTTCAGTATTTACGAGTCAGGTTTAGCCTTAAACTCAACCCTTTAGCAACTATGTATAGCAAGGCCAATGACACGTACATTCGACATCACAGCTGTTAATAACCGTAACGACTTTGAACTATTCAACTGAGAACTTACTATCTTCTCTTTTCCCAGAGCTATTCCCATGGGGAAATTTCCAGACCACTTCCACAGAATGAGCGCTGACACGAACAGAGGATTCAGTGAGGAGTATGAGGTAGCTATAAGGATAACATGCTTTCTCTGTTTGTTTTCATCATGGTGTTGGTAATGCAAAGTAGTTGGGCGATCGTCCAACGTTGTATTCCCTGTGTTTTTATTTTGTCATCTTGTAATTATTTTGTCATCTTTGTCATCCATCCGTTTGTCTGTTCATAAGCCTTTAGCTGACCCTTCTGAGTATGTAAACATAAATGAGTTTTTCTTTACATTATGATCTATGGTTTATATCTCTATGCAGGACTTCATCCCTGTTGGCACAGAGCAGACTAGAAAAGCAGCCCTTCTGGAGGAGAACAAGAACAAGAACCGCTTCACCAATGTACTGCCATGTAAGTGTATTCTGGCTGCTATTTCTGCACGTATGAACAACATACAGTTGTTGAATTGACGTCACCACTTGTTATTGCAATAATTTAACTTTGTGTCAGCCAATTGACCAAGTATAATAGGGTGGATCAGATATCCCTCAGATTCCAGGCGGAGTTTTGGCTTAATCACCCCACTTGCAGATTTTATACAGTTAGAGGTTATAGTTTTAAATGGTTATAATCCTCAAAGTGAAGTTGTTAAATCATCAAGCGTTTTAAATCCTTTCTCTCTCTCTCCAGATGACTGGTGTCGGGTGAAGCTAACCAAGCTAAACCAAAACATGAGCTCTGACTACGTAAATGCCAATTACATGCCTGTAGGTACAGCAGCATGTCAGTCACTGATTTCCTAATAAAGAGCAATGTCCATATCAGTCCTAGATATCCTATATAGGTATTCTTACTCTGACTGCAGTAAGTAGATCAGTACTAGAATTATCTACTATACTGATCTGAACCTTGATAGCCTACTGTAAAAGGCCCACTTACGGTAAAGGCTTGGCTTGAAACAAAGGTCAACTTTAAGTTATTTGCCGGTACACGTTCTTCAATACATCGCCACACAACCCTTTATGTAAGTTATAAAATGTCATAATGTAATAATATTCTAGTGTCACGTTACAATATCGCTGAATCATATGATGCCTTAGAGGAACTTCTTACACCTATAAATGTTTACACATCTGAGGCATTAAAAATGACTATAAATAGAATAGGTGTGTTTTGTTAACCCTGATGCTTTTTGTCGCAGGGCTACGGTAACAGCAGACAGTACATCGCTGCACAGGGTCCCCTGCCCACCACCGTCAACGACTTCTGGAGAATGATCTGGGAGCAAAGGGTAAAGGGTGTGGTCATGGTAACCAACTGCACCGAAGGAGGGAGGGTGAGTCCTGTTGGAGTCCGAGTTAATGTGTTTGCTTTGCATTGGGTGTGTGGAGAATGTGGTGACATCACAGATAAACAGTCATAGAAATAGAATCACTAGAACGGGCGAAGACCCTCAGAACATGGCAATTTGACAGATTAGATTCTATGTACTGTATTTATATAGATACATTGACCTATTCTGTCTGTGTCTCCCTAGAGTAAATGTGAGCAGTACTGGCCTTTGGACTACACCCCTTGCCTGTACGGAGACCTGTTGGTAACAGTCCGGTCCGAGAAGAGGGAAACCAACTGGACACTGCGGGAGTTTGTAGTGAAAAATGTAAGTATAGTGCTTGTTCTACTTATGGAACCTGGGTCATCGTGTTCAGTAGGGCACACAGTTGCAGAACTTTCTGCTACAAAAAATGAAAATCTCTGATCTTATTGGAGAAGATCAGATTGTTCCTTTCGGTAGTACTCTGTTTCAAAATGTTTTCTCCCTACTGATCACCACCCTGGACAAGGTTTTCAGTGCATGCTCTGCTTACTACCTGTGTGAATGTCGCCTCTGCATCTACATTTACATTACATTTGAGTCATTTAGCAGACATCACAGTTGAAGTCGGAAGTTTACATACACCTTAGCCAAATACATTTAAACTCAGTTTTTCACAATTCCTGACATTTAATCCTAGTAAAAATTCCCTGTCTTAGGTCAGTTAGGATCACCACTTTATTTTAAGAATGTGAAATGTCAGAATAATAGTAGAGAGAATGACTTATTTCAGCTTTTATTTATTTCATCACATTCCCAGTGGGTCAGAAGTTTACATACACTCTATTAGTATTTGGTAGCATTGCCTTTAAATTGTTTAACTTGGGTCAAACGTTTTGGGTAGCCTTCCACAAGATTCCCACAATAAGTTGGGTGAATTTTGACCCATTCGTCCTGACAGAGCTGGTGTAACTGAGTCAGGTTTGTAGGCCTCCTTGCTCGCACATGCTTTTTCAGTTCTGCCCACAAATGTTCTATTGGATTGAGGTCAGGGCTTTGTGATGGCCACTCCAATACCTTTACTTTGTTGTCCTTAAGCCATTTTGCCACAACTTTGGAAGTATGCTTGGGGTCATTCTCCATTTGGAAGACCCATTTGCGACCAAACTTTAACTTCCTGATTATAATTTTCCTTCCTCATGATGCCATCTATTTTGTGAAGTGCCCCAGTCCCTCCTGCAGCAAAGCACCCCCATGGCATGATGCTGCCACCCCCGTGCTTCACGGTTGGGATGGTGTTCTTTGGCTTGCAAGCCCCCCCTTTTTCCTCCAAACGTAACGATGGTCATTATGGCCAAACAGTTCTATTTTTGTTTCATCAGTCCAGAGGACATTTCTCCAAAAAGTACGATCTTTGTCCCCATGTGCAGTTGCAAATCGTAGTCTGGCTTTTTTATGGTGGTTTTGGAGCAGTGGCTTCTTCCTTGCTGAGCGGCCTTTCAGGTTATGTCGATATAGGACTCGTTTTACTGTGGATATAGATACTTTTGTAACCGTTTCCTCCAGCATCTTCACAAGGTCCTTTGCTGTTGTTCTGGGATTGATTTTCACTTTTCGCACCAAAGTACGTTCATCTGTAGGAGACAGACCGCGTCTCCTTCCTGAGTGGTATGACGGCTGCGTGGTCCCATGGTGTTTATAGTTGCGTACTATTGTTTGTACAGATGAACGTGGTACCTTCAGGCGTTTGGAAATTGCTCCCAAGGATGAACCAGACTTGTGGAGGTCTACAATTTTTTTTCTGAGGTCTTGGCTGATTTCTTTTGATTTTCCCATGATGTCAAGCAAAGAGGCACTGAGTTTGAAGGTAGGCCTTGAAATACATCTACAGGTATACCTCCAATTGACTCAAATGATGTCAATTAGCCTATCAGAAGCCTCTAAACCAGGGGTGTCAAACTCATTTTAGCTCAGGAAAATCTATTCCCAAGTGGGCCGGACCGGAAAAATCATGGTATATATAACTTAAAAACAACAACTTCAGATTGTTTTCTTTGTTTTAATACGATCAACATACAACATAAAGCTGGAGCCTGAGGACAGTGTGTCCAAAATAGTACAAGCACAACATCACTATTAATCATAAAACACGTCAAGTTATTTGAAAGTTCTGAGGACAAAGAACACACAAACACACAATGCCTCAGTGATTAACAGAACTGTTTCACAGATCACAGAACTATATCAGGGTGTAATTTCTCAGGCAGAAATGTAGATAAAAATAATGAAATCCTGTTCCCCAAACAAGTGCAAGAACCACAGAGTCAAGAATAGGTTAAATATACAAATAAAATAAAATCAATTAAAAACAATAGCACATCAACATAAAAACATATAAACATAAAGCTGGAGCCTGAGGACAGTGTCCAAAAGCACAACATCACTATTAATCATAAAACACCTCAAGTTATTTGAAAGTTCTGAGGACAAAGAACACACAAACACACATTGCCTCAGTGATTAACAGAACTGTTTCACAGATCACAGAACTATATCAGGGTGTCATTTCTCAGGCAGAAATGTAGATAAAAATAATGAAATCCTGTTCCCCAAACAAGTGCAAGAACCACAGAGTCAAGAATAGGTTAAATATACAAATAAAATAAAAACAATTAAAAACAATAGCATATCAACATAAAAACATATAAACATAAAGCTGGAGCCTGAGGACAGTGTCCAAAAGCACAACATCACTATTAATCATAAAACACCTCAAGTTATTTGAAAGTTCTGAGGACAAAGAACACACAAACACACAATGCCTCAGTGATTCACAGAAGTATATCACAGATCACAGAACTATATCAGGGTGTCATTTCTCAGGCAGAAATGTAGATAAAAATAATGAAATCCTGTTCCCCAAACAAGTGCAAGGAACCACAGAGTCAAGAATAGGTTAAATATACAAATAAAATAAAAACAATTAAAAACAATAGCACATCAACATAAAAACATATAAACATAAATCTGAAAGCGTTGCTCAAACTCCCGTAACAGTCCCGTTATTTTATCTTTGAACCGCTTCATGTCTGCCACATGTTGGGTCGCGCACACGTTTTTCAGACAGGGGAAGTGAGCTGCATCACCACCGGCAAGTTGCGTCTCCCACAATGACAGCTTCAACTTGAAAGAACGTATGCTGTCATAATACTGCGTGACAACTTTGTTGCGCCCTTGCAGCTGTTTGTTCAAGTTATTCAGGTGCTCTGTAACATCCACCATAAATGCAAGGTCCTGCATCCATTCTGCGGAATGAAATTCTAACACTGGTTTGCCCTTTTCTTCCATGAACTGTTCAATTTCTTCTCGTAAATCAAAGAAACGCCTCAGCACAGCACCTCGGCTTAACCATCTTACCTCAGTGTGGTATGGCAGGCCATAGATGTGGTCTTTCTCTCTGAGAAGGCTGTCAAACTGACGGTGATTCAGGCTTCTGGATCGGATGAAATTAACAGTTTGGATGACCACCTTCATGACGTTATCCATCTTTAATGACTTGCAACACAAAGCCTCCTGGTGCAAAATACAGTGAAAAGTCAAAAAATCACGTCCTCCATTTGCAGATTGCACTTTCTCTCTGAACTTTGTCACAACGCCTGCTTTTTTCCCGATCATTGAGGGCGCACCATCTGTAGCCAGGCTGACAGCGCGGGACCAGTCCACTCCGACCCTGTCCAGCGCGCCGACGAGTGCGGTAAAAATATCAGCTGCTGTCGTTGTATCTGTCATCGGCACCAACTCCACGAACTCCTCGGTGACGGTCAATGTGTCATCAACTCCGCGGATGAAAATGGCCAGTTGTGCAACATCTGTAATGTCCGTGCTTTCATCAATTGCAACCGAAAACGCAATAAATGACTTTACTTTTTGCTTCAACTGGCTGTCCAAATCCACTGAAAGATCGGAAATCCTGTCTGCAACTGTGTTTCTTGTCAGGCTGATATTTGCAAAAGCCTGCCGCTTTTCAGGGCACACAATCTCCGCTGCCTTCATCATGCATGTTTTTACAAATTCACCCTCACTAAATGGTTTTGAAGCAACTGCGATTTCATTAGCAATGAGGTAGCTAGCTTTCACTGCAGCGTCACTGATGTCTCGGCTGTGAGTAAACACAGACTGCTGTTTCTTCAGACCCGCCAACAGTTCATTCACCTTCTCTCATCTCCGCTGTCCTTGAAAGTTGTCATATTTGTTGGCATGAAGACTCACATAGTGGCGACGAAGGTTATATTCTTTCAGCACTGCAACATGCTCTGAACACACCAAACATACAGCTTTCCCATTCAATTCCGTGAATAAATAGGATGACCATTTTTCTTGGAACACTCTGCGTCCACTTTTCTCTTTTTTGACAGAGACATATTGGGGCAATGAGGGTGCCAAAGCACATAATGTTAAAAGTAGAAGCCATAATAAATATCGTGGGCAAAACAAAGTAGCTCATTGGCTGCACGTGCTTGACCTACTTGCTCTGCCCCGGTATAAACAGTTTGCTTGCTTAACACAATTGCTATTGCGCCATCCAGTGGACGCAATTGGAACAGCAGTTTATTTTATTGAAAAATTGCAGCGCATTTTTATACTTTACAAAATTATTATTATTATTATTATTTTTTTTATTTTTTCACGGACGTTTGACACCCCTGCTCTAAAGCCATGACATCATTTTCTGGAATTTTCCAAGCTGTTTAAAGGCACAGTCAACTTAGTGTATGTAAACTTCTGACCCCCTGGAATTGTGATACAGTGAATTATAAGTTAAATAATCTGTCTGTAAACAATTGTTGGAAAAATGACTTGTGTCATGCACAAAGTAGTTGTCCTAACCGACTTGCCAAAACTATAGTTTGTTAACAAGAAATTTGTGGAGTGGTTGAAAAACGTGTTTTAATGACTCCAACCTAAGTGTATGTAAACTTCCGAATTCAACTGTAAATACTTCTGTCTTCCAGAAGGACACATCCGAGGAACGCCCTGTGAAACACTTCCACTTCACGGCCTGGCCCGACCACGGAGTCCCAGAGGGAACGGCGGCTCTGATCCAGTTCAGAGGGCTGGTCCGACAGCACATAGAGAGCCGTGAGAACACCGGACCCACTGTGGTGCACTGCAGGTAATGTTACAGTACTGACAACACCCAGCCATTACTTTATACAGAGAAAAATGCTAAATAGGGATGTACAATGTGGCAACCCTATTGAGGTGTTCCAAGAACGCACCGTTAACCAACAAGTGAGGTGTGTGTACAATGACTGGTGGTGACAGTGCAATTTTCCTTATAGAAGTATAGGCCTAGTTTTAGGTTGTCTCTTCCTTGAACTGGATTATTCTGTGCTCTATCTGTAAACGTTATGTTTATATTAATCTCCCTGTTTCTCAGTGCTGGGGTGGGGAGGACGGGCACCATCATTGCTCTGGACGTGATGCTACAACAACTGGAGAGGGAGAAGGCGGTGGGCATCGCTGCCTTTTTGCACAAGATGAGGCTGAGTCGACCGCTCATGGTTCAGACAGAGGTAAGGTCTGAGTTAGCCTAATGCAGACGATCACCACATTCACACCAGATACTACCCTAAAACATGGCAATATCTATTGATTAGGGTTGGGCGATATCTAGATTTTCATACCGTCATACCGTTTCTGTACCATACCGGGGTATATGGTATTACCGAATGTGCACAAAACAATTTAGGCAACAAGGATGTTGATCCAGGAGGGGATTGAATGTATCTGCTGTAACCAAGAAGCTTGATCTTGACATCTAGCCACTTAGCTAGCAAGTTAGCAAACCAAATGCATAGCTGGAGGCCTGAGCTGGATATCATTTATTTGACACATCTTAGATTTCTTATAGTTATACTTAACTTATAGTTATAAGCAGTGGTGTAGCACACAGCCCCGCCCTCTTTGGGTATAATGACTAAAGGTTTGATTTAAAAAATGTATACATGACTTATGAGGCTATATTTGTGGCTTATCATTGCCATTTACATTCTTTCAGTCGCAGTATATTTTCCTGCACCAATGCATCATGGATTCTCTGGAGCCCAAAGAGAAGATGATACAAGAGGCCCTGTATGAGAACTCGGACCTGATCTACGCCAACGCCACAGCACTGAGGGAGTTTCAAGCTGGCAATCCAAAGGTCTTAAGATAAGGCCATGGATTGTCTGCTGTGAGTTCGTTTTTTCATTCACTTTGGCACATTTTTCAGATGTAAATGGTATATTTTCAAAATTCTCGAAGTACAAAACTCTAAACTGATAACAATTGTAATGCCCCCTATCTTATGTTCAGAACCTTTGATTGTGCATTCAATGGGGTTTCACACATCTTTCACCCGAGTCATTCATGCAAAATCAATGTTTTCCGTGAAATACCGTTTAGTCAGTTTAGTCACTAATACATCAGATAATGATAGGCTCACCATTTTGTCATTTTAACTACAATTAAATCCAATAGCAAAAAATGCAAGATACACATTTCAAAACTGTTCTTTTTGAAGTGCTGAATAGAAAGAATAATAGATGTAAATATAATGTTTCATATAGTATGACTACTTGACATGCACAATTATTTTTATGATTTGTATCCAATGGTAGGTTGTGAGGATGTTGAGAAATATATAAGTCTTAGTTTAATTATCCTTATACAGTACATACGTAGGACAAATCATCAGAAATAAGGGTATTGTAAAGCAGTTGGCTACTGTAAAAACGTAGCACATTGTTGTATCCCATTTCTGCCCCATGCAACATTGAACAAGATCACCTTTTCTACGTGATTGATACAGTATCGCCTGTCTCTCTGCTTGAAATTCATCCGTTTACAGTGAAAGCTGTAAGCTGAAATTCAGATGAGTGGAATATGTTATATACAACCCAGGTATTTCAGCAGTGCATGGTACACTACACTATAACTCCAAATGGTAGCACATAGTGACTCTTTCCACTTTGTCCTTTGAAGCACACTGGCTGATGGAGGATGATGATGAAGTATTTACAGCCACATCCATATATAATTTGTTTTTACCTTCCAACATCAAATTGATACATTTATGAGGTAAAAATATCTGTCGATCTGCCCTTGAGCAAGGCATTTAACCCTAATTGCTCCTGTAAGTCGCTCTGGATAAGAGCGTCTGCTAAATAACTCATATGTAAATGTAACTAGGCACTACATAATTTTGGTTCAGTGGTTATTAGTTTTGAGCAGTTTTATTGAGTTAATTGTATTGTTAACAAATGACAAGAAAATCTATCAAAAGTAAAGTGAATTTTAAATTTCGGAAAGCAGATATATAAAAGCAACATGCCACAATTTTACGGCGTTACAGTTCATATAAGGAAATCAGTCAATTGAAATAAATTCATTAGGCCCTAATCTTTGGATTTCACATGACTGGGCAGGGGTGCAGCCAGGCCCACCCACTGGGGAGCCAGGCCCAACCAATCAGAATGAGGGAAAAAGCACCCCCCCACATTTTACATTTACATTTTAGTCATTTAGCAGACGCTCTTATCCAGAGCGACTTACAGTTAGTGAATACATATTTTTTTATACTGGCCCCCCGTGGGAAACGAACCCACAACCCTGGCGTTGCAAACGCCATGCTCTATCAACTGAGCTACATCCCTGCCGGCCATTCCCTCCCCTACCCTGGGCCAATTGTGCCAAGTGACCTTTTATTGTCCCCAGCACAAGGTGCACCTGTGTAATGATCATGCTGTTTAATCAGCTTCTTGATATGCCACCCGTCAGGTGGATGGATTATCTTGGCAAAGGAGAAATGCTCACTAACGGATGTAAACAAATTTGTGCACAGCATTTGAGAGAAATAAGACTTTTGTGGGTAAGGAACATTTCTGGGATTTTTTATTTCAGCTCATGAAACATGGGACCAACACTTTACATGTTTATATTTTTGTTCAGTGTAGATTGAATATGTATCCAAATTAAGAGTGATTTGGTGCAGTGAACAATGTTTGTTGTACTCAGTCAATTGAAAATGTGCTTAAGAGTTTTTGATGATCTGTTTTGAGTTGTGAAAATTGCACCAATGTGATTGATTAAAAAAAAGTTTAGTCTTTGTGGTTAAGAGGCCCATCTATGAGCCCAAGATAACATCTGACAAACAATGGCAATCTCTTGCTAATTTCTTCTGTATGTTGAGATTTTTTATTTAAATATTTTCACATCACATGTACATAATGTTTTAGCCTATATTGTATGTAATCATTCACTGGATATAATCAGGAGAATTCAGCACACTTCACATTAACCTATGTACTTTGGTTTTTTATCATTGTGTTAGAATACTCAATGCTGCTTGTGTTTTCAATACATTTCAGTTATAGCCTATCAATTTCAAAATTGCAATTGAAATGATTCATGGAGGATTAGATTTTTACTTGACATTTATTGACAATGTATAAAAACATGTAAATAGATCAATCCAAAGTATTGTCACTTGGTTTTCATGTATCACAAAGCGTAAAAAACAAAAATTGTCAATCCAGTAGCACCCATTTTCACAAATACTGTTATAATAAGAGGCCAAACCATCCCCCTATTAAACCCAACCGTCAACAACCATTTTATAAACATTTTCACCATCCTCAGTCTGAAACGCCGTCATTCCCGGAGGAATGCGAGAAATAAATGCCGATAATGGCGGCTCTGGATTTCTCGGCGTAGCTAGGCACCTCCACCACCGGCACCTGGTGATTCTCGGCCGGGTGCATGGTCTCCAGCACGGTATCGTTGAGCGCAGGCACCGAAAACTTCTTAGCGATGTTATGCAGGACGCAGCAGGCCTTGATGATCTCAGCCTTCTTGTCCAGACTGTTCTGCTGCACGTGGCCCAGATTGGCCAGGCACCTGAAGCGCCTCTTGACCAAGGTGATGGTCCTCTGGAGGACCGAGTGGATCATGCCGTGGGCTGCATTGAACCGCCGATCTGCCTTCTCTTTGGCTGGCGAAACGGCCGTCAGGAGGTGTCTGCTCAACGCATAGCCTTTTCCAGCTTTGTGGGATCAAAAAAGTGGCAAGTATGAACATTGGTGAATCACGACAGACTTTTTTACACTGTGACTGAGTGACCCACCTAAAGTTAGACCACTGTTTTTGGTCAAACTCACTCAGAACTGTTCAAGACCAACACCAACTTACCTGATTCAGCTAGTTGATTGTTTAAAACAGGTGTTAGTATTGGGCTGAAACAACAGCATGCACACCTAATAGCACTCCAAGACCAGGAGACCCTTAGCCATAACTGGGGTGGCTAGTGGGTCTGCACAGTATTTCTAGTCATAAGAAATGTATAAAACTTATTCCTGTGTAGAATTAGCTTACCAATGATCCAATGCGTCCCGTGTGCTCCATGCTTTAGTTGCTGGGAAATATCCGACATATCCCAAATGGTTTGCTCTGGTGTGCTGCCAACACAGCAGTTTTCAACACTCATGAAATTCCCTTCACAGTCGCATATGACTTGGGTCATGACGGTGTGGTTATCCATTGTGTTCCGAAAAGCATCCTTGTCGTGCTGAGGGGGTCTCACCTTGATATGCATGCATCCCACCAAGCCCATGGAGGTCGGAATCCCGCATATTTTCTTGATCTCATGCGCCACATTTGCTCGTTCCTCACCATTCGCCGGGAAAGTGATAAACTCTCTGACCATACCTGACAACACTTTGGAGACATTGTTGATGACTTCGTGAATCTCCATTTGCTCCATTTGAATCATATCTACGACTTTGGTCGACAAAATACCATTTACGTAGTAGTCCAGTGCCACTATCACCATTTCATCGACAGAAGGTCCATTCATTTGCTGGAGCGTGGCTTTCATTCGGAGCCTGACGCAATCCGTGATGAAACTTATGCAAGGTCTAGTTAAATGAAACCTCTCAAATAAAGAATCATCATCGTAATCACCCAAGTAGTTTTTCTGTGGCTCGGGGAAGTTGTTTGCCTCGGCCTCTTCGTCATCTTCGTAGAGTTCTGCTTGAGCAGCTAACCACACAGCGGGAGCAAAAGCCATGTCAAGGCTAGACTAACAAACAAATGTTTGCAGATAAATAACCCGTCTTGGATGCGATGCTCGGCAGGGAATTAGAACATTCCGACTAGCTAGCTACTTAGCTAAGTCCTAAAATGTCACATTTCAGTCACTTTAAGCATCAAAGACACACGTTTCATTGCACAGAACGATTGTAAACAATGAAAAACGGGTGGGATTCTTCTTCTTCAGTGGGATTTATCGGCGGTTGGCATCCAACGTAATGGTGCATTACCGCCACCTACTGTACTGGAGTGTGGGCCAGAGACAGGGGGAAACTAAATCCTACCTGCCAGCCCCGTTTCTCTTAAAATAGATAAAATATTTGAGACTATATCTAATGACGTTCTACTCAATACACTCTTTAAACTCATTTCCTGTATCCACTTCTCCCTCATACTAGATCTCATCCTCTCTCTTTCCCTCTGATACTGCTATTTCCTGACAATAATCACACTTTCCTGATGGATGCTTTCCTATCACATTTAATATCTTATTCAACTGGCTGTGTCCCACCCTTAATCTTGTAAAAATAGCCTCCTCTCTTCTGTCCCTTCCTGCCGTCCTCCCCTCCCCGACTTTCCTCTGTACTTGAAATAAATGCCTTCCCTTATTATCTCTATTCCACTGCTCCTGCCATCTCTGCACCATCACTGTATATATCAGTATTTTTGCCTCTGCCTTGCTTATTGAAACTTCAACATCAACATCCCCACTACTAAGTGCTTGTTTAGCCTGTTTGTCTACTGCCTCGTTCCCTTCCACCCCCACATGGGCTGGGACCCAAGTAAATCTTATCTGAATACCCATCTGTTTAATCCTGCCATGGATTTGTAGCACCTCATAAAGCAGGTCTTGTCTGCTACGTGAGCTAAAGGACTGGAGACTCATTAACACTGCACATGAATCAGAGCGTATAACTACTATGTCTTGTTTGACTTCCTCCACCCACTGCAAGGCCAACAGTATGGCCATCAGCTCCGCCGTATATACAGCCAGATGATCTGTAATATGTCTCCTTACTTCCACCCCACATTCCTGCACTACAAATGCTGACCCAGTATGTCCTGTACTTGGATCTTTTGAACCATCTGTGTAAATGGGCACAAAATCCTGATACACAGTTTCCAGACGTCTCTAACGGGTGGGATGAAGGAAGTAAATCTTCTTCATTGGTGGACATGGTCTGTAAACCAATTAAAAGGGGTACACCCAATTGCTACACTGCCATCTATGGGCTGGAGGGCTCGAGAAGCTTTTGCTACAAATGTGCAGTATTTTACAGACTCTCAAAATAATGTATTGATAAAATCAGTGGTAGAAAAAGTACTCAATTGTCATACTTGAGTAAAAGTAAAGATACGTTAATAGAAAATGACTCAAGTAAAAGTCACCCAGTAAAATACCATTTGAGTAAAAGTTTATACGTATCTGGTTTTAAATGTACTTAAGTACAGTGGTGGAAAAAGTACTCATTTGTCATACTTAAGTAAAAGTAAATGCTATACATCAAATTCCTTATATCAAACATAGCAGATGACACGATTTTCTTGTTTTTTAAATTTACGGACTGCCAGGGGCACACTCCAACACTTAATTTACAAATGCAGTATTTCTTTTTAGTGAGTCCACCAGATCAGAGGCCGTACGGATGACAACGCGGTATATTGATAGGTGCGTGAACTGGACCATATTAATGTCCTGCCTGAGCATTTGAAATGTAACGAGTACTTTTGGGTGTCAGGGAAAATGTATAATGGGAGTAAAAAGTACATATTTTCTTTACTTAGTTACTTTACACCACTAGAAAAAATATATTGTATTCCCAAATTCAGAATATCAAATTTAAAGGAAAGTATGGCAAACCTTATCATTTTCCTCTCAATAAATCAAACTAATATCAATATGTAATAATGAGATGTAGCATGCCTCACCCTTTTGAGTGGGTATAGACCCTTTTCCAGTACATGGCACACTGACATCATGCACTGATGCGCGCAACTCTTGGCGGCAGTAAGAAAGCCATCGCCATCTGAGCCCATTCAACATAGCCTAGATTTACGTTTATTTTACTCCTAAACAAAATAACTTTTTTGGGTTCTCATACGCTTACAATTATGTTTTGATTCTTGCTTGAACAGTCCCTAAGATTATATTTGGTTGTGATCTTTGCAAAAATAACTATTTTGGATGCAGCATTTGTTAGCTAGAATGCTAACGCTCATTGATATAGGCTGTAGCAAAAACTAGCCAAATAACCATTTTACTGGTTGAAGTTGAAGTGTTTTTTAAAGTATAATGCAGTTGATTTGCGATGATGACACAAACATTATATTAAGCAGGACATTCAGACGAGCCTTAAAATTAAATTCTAATCCAAAAGTAGTGTGAAATGCACTCATAAGCAAATGTAAATAGAGGCTTTTTTTCTGCTGCCGTTCTTTAAGAACTCCCCCTTGTTCTGCCACCAACTTGCGCGTATCGCCCTCATGCGGCAATGTTTGCAAACACAGAAAGGGGTCTATATATGCCACCTAAAGGTCTGGATCAGATTTGGCCCCTGCCATTTCATTACAAAAACACATAAATCACCTGCATTATGAATCTCAAAAAGTTCCAATACCGTAAATCTTATATTATTAGCTCATTGTTTTCATTAGATGGCCTAATATAACTACATACTCAAATATTGACCAGTAGCCTACCTTATTAAGGTATGCATGATACCCTCAGAAATGCTTGGTTAAAGGCCCAGTGCAGATGTTTTTATATTAATATCTAATAATTTCTGGGTAACAATTAAGTACCTTACCCACCACATTTCCATCTACAGTTTTTACTGTATAAAAAAAATCACAACAGACGTGATGGATACAGGAAGTTTCGGTACAATGTTATACATTCTGACAGATCATTTGTTTGTTCGACATGTTGGGATCTTTTTGTGTCAGTAAAATGTATTATGCGAAAAATGGCGGTGGATTCGCCTTAATGCCAAATATTGATATAATAACCATGATATCGAAGTTAACTTGGAGTCACGCGATGACATGGTGTGTGGTCCTCCCAATAAGACTCAGGAAACCATGCAGTTTATTAGGCTACAAATGAAATAAGTTATGATGAACTTCACAGGGTGGTGAAGTGCACGTGATCTTGATACTCCTTTTCAATAAATATCGAGGGTCTTATTCTGGTGACATGATGATCGATGCTGGTTTGATAATTAAAAATATTCTCGCTCATATCTATAATAATCTCATCATGTACACTAGCCTACTCACACAGCCTACCCGCACCAACACAGTATCTGCGAGCTGTTGGCTAGGGCGCACGCACCAACACTAGAGTAGGCACATGTACTATATAACGCAACAGTTTTTTTTTGGACAAAACTATCGGTAGAGTTAAAAATGCGATGGTACATGAAAACTTAAGTGAAAAAGTAAATTTTGTGGGCACTACGTCATCACGCACATATTATTATCTGCAAAAGGTCAGTTTGGTGGAATGTAACTGCACATTTCTTTATGCAGATTTTAGACCATTTGCATTACAATCTGTCACCAGTTAGATGGAAACCTAGCTACTGTAATAGATTTCCATTAAAATGGGCAAAAATAGCTTTTTAGCAAAAAAAATCTATTTCTCAAGCAAGAATTTCGCTAGGAATGTCTGGGAGTGGTCTGAGTGGGGAGGGGACATGGAAAACTAGCTGTTCTAGCTGTTATTCTTTGTTATTGGGCTATTACCAATTTACTGCATGGTGATGTCACCATGGAAAGTCGAATCTCTCGCCCATGCAAACCTGCTGATTAGAAGGTCCTGTGTAGATTGTATTTTTTACCAGCAACTATCAGGAAATAACACTGGTATAAAACACAGGAAAAACTGAATTTTATCTGCACAGGGCCTTTAAAAAAATGTGCCTAATATATATAGGCCTAAGGGTCACCTTGATCCATAACTGAAATTCCAGCAATTGCGCTAAGCTAACGTTAAGCTACCTTCAACTTCCTCCAAACTGCACGCAGAGACATAAAAATGGTATCCATGAGTTCATCTGACTCTGGTTAAGTAGGAAGAACTGCTTAAACGTCTTTTTTTTGTGGTTAATTTGATAAAACACAGAATCGAATGGAATGTAACTACATAGTTCCAATTGATAGCTATACATTTATTTGCAGCAATTAGACCTAAGTTACAAAACGTTCTTTGATATTGGTCACCAATCTTTACATTTCCCAACATGCATAATCATGGAGATGGATGGTTATAAATTCCTAGACACAAGGATTTGGTAGCACAGACATAATCCCAAAATGGTGTCAGTTTGTCACAGGACCACAGCATATGTAATAGGGATTGTATTTTTATAGTTAAAAAAAAATCTCCAACAGAGATATTACATTTCTGGGTGCATTACATGCATTCCGGTAGGAGTGTAGTAAATCCTATGGATTCTTTTCAATTACAATAATTTATTTCTAAGGAGCAAATACACTATACAGTGAGGGAAAAAGTATTTGATCCCTGTTGATTTTGTACGTTTGCCCAATGACAAAGAAATGATCAGTCTATAATTTTAATGGTAGGTTTATTTGAACAGTGATTCAAATCCAGAAAAACGCATGTCAACAATGTTATAAATTGATTTGCATTTTAATGAGGGAAATAAGTATTTGACCCCTCTGCAAAACATTACTTAGTACTTGATGGCAAAACCCTTGTTGGCAATCACAGAGGTCAGACGTTTCTTTTAGTTGGCCACCAGGTTTGCACACATCTCAGGAGGGATTTTGTCCCACTCCTCTTTGCAGATCTTCTCCAAGTCATTAAGGTTTCAAGGCTGACTTTTGGCAACTCGATCCTTCAGCTCTCTCCACAGATTTTCTATGGAATTAAGGTCTGGAGACTGGCTAGGCCACTCCAGGACCTTAATGTGCTTCTTCTTGAGCCACTCCTTTGTTGCCTTGGCCGTG